TCTTGCTCCCTCCCCGGCCGCCTCCACCCCGTGGGGACCGCAGGGCTGTCGGGCTGCTAAAACCGGGGTGCCACCCCCCTCCCCACCCCGATGCTGCACCCCGCTGGGCTTCGGGTCCCCAGGGCATCCCGCTGCTGCGGGTCCCCGGGGCACCCTGGTGCTTAAAGGTCTCTCCGCACCCCAGCGCCGCCGGTCCTGGGTGCCCTCGATGTTGTGCACCCCAGCACCGCAACTTCTTGTGGGGGCCCCAAAGTTGCGCACCCCTGCGCCCGTGGGTGCCCCGGGTGGGTGGCCCTATAAATCCACCCAAGGAGAAGGTGCCTCGCAGCACGGTGCGGGGTGCAGTGGGTACCCCCAGCCTGCAGACGGGGCCACGGTACGGCACGGGAGCTCAGCCCTATTTCCTTCCCAGCGTCACCCGCAGCTCCGTGGTAGTTTGGAGCCCGAAGGCCCGGTCAGTGCAGCCCGCGGCTCTGAAAGCCTGGACGGGCAAGCAAGCACCTTTCCAAGGGCAAGTCCCGCACTCGGGCACGTTCCTGGGGCAGTGGGTTGCCCACGCGTTGCCCTGCGTGGTTTAGCACAGTGAGGTGACAGCCCCGGGGTGTTATTTTTAAGCCGCCATTGCCAGCTAGCTGTGAGCCTTCTTGGGCTGCTGTCTGCTGCTGGGCTTCAGGCAGACGTCCTCCCTCCAAACCAGGGCCCCAAAACTCCAGATTCCTGCACCTTCTGGTGCCGTGGTCCCACTCTCCTCCCAAGGTTATCTGGGAGGGTTTGAGCCTCTTGTCCTTCTGGTAGCAGCTGGTGGAACAGCCAGGCTGTGGCTACCGGAGCTCCCCACTTCCTTGGTTTAGCTGAACTGGAGGGGGTTTGCTGGAAACAGCTTACATGCACTCCCTGCTTTTTAATTTACTAGAGATGAGGGACCTGGGACCCAAGTGCCGTCACTGACTTCTGCTCTCTCTGCCTTATTTCTGCTTTGCCTATGTGCGCGCCCCAACTCCTACTTTTGCTCTGCAAAAGAAATTGGAGGCTTAAACACAGCGGCTCCTCTCCCTGCCACAGTGCCGTGTCCGTTAGTGATGCCCACCCTGGGGAGGTGTGCTGGGTCCGGCGTGGGTGCTGCCTGGAGGGATGCTGGGGACATGGCTCCTGCCGTTGGGGAACATCTCCGCCTAAACTTTAACTTGCTGCTTGCAGCCAGGCTTTGAGGTGGGGTTTTGGCACAATACAGTTTGTGGCTCCCTCCTGCAACCAGGGGTCCTAGGGCACCTCATTTACCCACGTGGCTTGATACCAGGAGCTACCAAGGTGCTGGTGTCACTGTCTGCCCTTCCCATGTCCCTACGGATCTGCTTTGATCCCAGTCGGGGCCAGCTGGGTTTGCTGCGCCTGCAGGTGCGGCTGCAGAGGCGCAGGGACGGGGCCGTTTGACCAAGGAGGGGTTTGGCCCTGTGCTTATCGAGCTGCTCTTACGAAACCATCTCTGTTGATGCAGAGGCTGAGGAGGGTTCAAAAGCAGCCAGAGGACTGAGCTCACTGCCTGATTTCTGTGCTTGGAGATGAGGAGTGCTGGCACGGGAGGCAGAGCAAGTTCTTGGATCCTGGCGGTCCTGCTTGAGCATGGCTTGGGCTGCTTTCGGCCAAATCATGTTTGTAGAGAGCTGGGGTGAGGAGGAGATGACCCTGAGAGGCCTGGGGATGAGGTTTGCAGGGCCACCACCAGCTTTTCCTGGGGAATCTCGCCTGAGCGGCCGAGAGCTGGAGGGGGCCGTGCTGCGGCGAGCCTTGGCAGAGCTCCTGCCCGAGTGTTGGTGCAAATGCTTGTGCAAGAGATGGGGAGGCTGAGCTCCTTCCAGAAACCCTGGGATGGGAGGAGCCCACCACGGGACAGGCTCGGGTTCCTGGGGCTGCCCGGGGGGAGGACGTCGTAGCCCCCGCTGGGCTGCGGGCACAGGAGGCTCTTTCTGCTGCTGGGGGGTGGCAGCGGGATTGCCTTGTGACATTTGGGCACTGCCCCCGCTCCCACCTCTGCAGCCGCCGGCTTGGTCCTTGCATAAGCTGTTGTGGACGTATTTGGACTCCGAAGAAGAGGTGCTTCAGGCTGCCGAGGCCCCCCCCCGGGGCATGTGCTGCCAGCAGCGGCTCGGTCCCGTTGCTTGACCTCCTTTTGCAGGCATGGGGAGAGTGCTCGGACGGGGTTCCTGTGGAAAGCTCTGCTTTATCACTTAATAAATCCCCAGGAGCGCAGCTGCCAATATGAAGAGCACATGCATCTGCAGAAAATACCCTCCTCCCCCGCTGTGCTGCAATTAAAAGCCACCCTGTTCTCCATAAACACGTCCTGGCCCCAGCAAACAGCACGTTGTCCCCTCCACTGCCGCCTGAACCCCGGCCAAGCTCCAGCTCTGGGCTGGTTTGCCATGGTGTGTGCAAAATTGGAGCTGTGGCCAGGCCACCAGTGGCTGGAGGGGACTGGTTTGTGTTGGGGGAGGGTATGGCGATGGCTTTTCCTCCCTGGTCCTCACCAGCATCCCCCCTTTGCCCCTGCAAACTCTCGTGATCGCTTAGGCTCCAGGTGGCTGGGGAAAAATTCATCCCCTTGCGGGCTGATATTGGGAGGGGAGAGGTCCCCAAATCTTTGGAAGATGGGTAGAAGTTGGTCCATCCACATAGATGTGCTGGTGTTCACCCTGGGCAGTTTTGGATCCAGGTACCTGGATATGTGCATGGTGATGTGTGTGCACAACAAGCACTTGATTTGAAAAGTGGTGGCCTCTGTCCTGGACAAATAGACTTGAGAAAATGCCCCAAAATGTCCTCTCTAGGGTTGGTGGCAGGGAGGACAACCTGCCAAAACCAACTTGTTGCGCCCGTTCAGTGCGTCAGCTAACCCACCTCCTTTCCATGGCAGCTGAGAAAGTGACTTCTCTGGGGAAGGACTGGCACCGGCCCTGCTTGAGATGCGAGAAGTGTAACAAGACCCTGACGTCTGGAGGCCATGCAGAGGTGAGGTTTGCTGCCCAGGAGGTCCCTGTCCCCCGCGGCTTGGTGCTAAAGGAGCCATGGGATGGGCAGAGATGGAGCTGAAGGGCTATCGGGGACAGTCGGGGCTGATGCTCTTTCTCTCTCCCCACAGCACGATGGCAAGCCCTACTGCAACCACCCCTGCTATGCCGCCTTGTTCGGGCCCAAAGGTAGGGTCGCTGTGGCTGGGGCTGTGGGATGGAGGAGAAGGGGCCTCGGGGTTCCCATCTCTTGGTGAGGTGCATCCTTTGGTGCGCGTGCTGTCCCGCAGCCGTGCTGACCCCGTTCTGTCTCCCTTCCAGGGTTCGGCCGGGGAGGAGCCGAGAGCCACACGTTCAAGTAAACCTCAGGTTGGTGCCTCCCTTCGGAGCTCCCTTCCTGCCTCCGGCTGCGCGGGCTGGCCAGGGCTGTCCCCCCTCCCAAGGCACACGCGTGGAAGGCAGGCGTGCTGCGGCGTCTCTCCGGGCTGGCTGTGGCTTCCAGCCCTCACGCCGGTGCTCGGCAGCAACCTGCCGGGTGGCAGCTCCTCCTCTCCGCCAGCCCCAAGCGACCGTCAGCACCCGCTTAGCTCCGGCAGCGGACGCCAAAGGCTGTTTGCTTTGTGGCTTGTCGGCAAAGACAGGGTCTGTCCCGGAGCACCGTTGTCCCTGGGATGTCTCGGCTGCCAGCCCAGCCTGACCTCATCCGCCCCTCTCTTGCATCCCTCTCCAGGTCCGACGGCCAAGGTTCCCAGCACAGCCCGAAGACAGCACAAACGCACCGCGACAGACATGCAGTTTTGTTTTTAATTCACTTCTGTACTAGATTAGCACGTTAAAAGCAATAAGTAACCAAGGCTGGGGCTGGTGCGGAGAGGGGCTCCGCTCCAGATGGAGGACTGCCGAGGTGGGGGCGTTGGGACGCTCTGCCGGATAGGAAATTTGGCCGGTATCGCTGAAGGCCGCCTGGAGAGGAGACCACACCCTTCCAGCCAAAACCCAGCCCTGCTTTTGGCACCCAGCTCTCGTGGCTGGGTCCGCAGTTGTATTCTCAGTCTTTAATAAACCCAGACCAAAAGATGCTTTCCCCACGTAGCAGTTGTGCTCTCTGTAAGGGGAGGTCCTGCGGGACTTGTTCGCAAAGCGCTTGCCGCTTGCTTAAGGACTCCATGTGGCCTCTGGATCAAGCCTCACACCCGGCGATGGCTCCATGTGCTTTTGCCAGTGGTGTGTGCAATGTCCTGGCCATGGCTGCCCGAGCCAGGGGCTGCCTGAGCCATGCGGGGCAGGAGCAGCCCCCGGGTGCCCAAGGGAAAGGGGTGGTGGGTGTCAGGTCATGCTTGCCCGGGGGCTTGGTCTTCCTGGGTTCAAGGGAGAAGGTCCTGCCCAACCCATGGCCTCGCTGGGTCTTGTGTCGTGACATTTGCAGAAGCCCAGAGCGTGGTGGCTCCTGCCATGAGCCACCTCTTGCTACCTGTGGCTGTAATGACGTTAAGGTAGAGGCATGCAGTGCTGCTGGACGAGGGCCTGAGACTGCTGACCCATGGTCTCTCCAGCACTCAACGGCCTCCTGGCTGCATCCCGGCCTCCTGGCTGCCTTCCGGCCCCTGGCAGCACCTGCTGGAAAGCCATGCCCGTGGGCAGTCCCCAGCTCTTCGGTCCTGGATCTGGGGTGGCACTTGGCAGCCCTCAGTTGGGGCAAGGAGGTGTCTCTCCGGGAGGTGGTTGACTGTCACGTCAGGAAAACCTGGTACTTTCTGCCTTCGCTCTGAGCAGCCATACAAAAAGGCCAGATAAGGCAGAGGCGGCCGGCGAGGCAGAGCCAGCCTCCCTCGATAAGAGAAGCAGAGGCGCGGTATTACAAAGCGAGAGCTTTGCTTTTTCGTGTTTCAACCTCTTTGCCCCACTGGAAGACCAGAACTGACAGATGTAAGAGATGTCGACTTGAGGGATGTTTCTAAAACAGTTTCTTAACCATGTATTTCCCTAACCTGAACCACTGCATTTACATATTCAGAGGTACTTCATCACTCACTGTGATATTTTTGTCTACGATTTATGCATGCATTTCCTTAGAGACTGCTCTGCGTCTTACTGTCACGCTGGCCTTACTGGGACTTGGCCAAAACCCTCAGGGGTCGGAGGTACACGTCTAATGTCAAAATCTTCAGTGTCAAAAGCAGCCCGATCCAATAAGCATCTTAAAACTTCCCGTGTGCTTGGTGCCAAAAGGCTCTGCACCCACCAAGCACACTCCAGTGTAACAAACCCGACCAGCCGGCGCTGCCTCCCCTCCCACCCAGTTAACCCAGCAAACGCAGGCGTCTGTGTCAAAGGCAAACCCTGGCTATTGCTGCGCAGCCAGCACCACGAGCCAGCCAGCCAGCCAGGGCTGGTAGGGCCCCCTGCCCTCCCACTCCCACCGCTGCCCTCGCCAGCAGCCTCCCAGTGGATGTTGGCACCCATGGCTCCTGGCCAGCGAGACACAGTCCGGCTCTGCATTGCTGCTGGCGCCCAGCCCGCCCCTGGGGCACTGGGGACGTGGCTTTCCTCTACAAACTGGGGCTTCAAAGCAAACTGGTGATATAATCTCAGCAGCCTTGAGCGTGCCAGTGGGATAACGTTTACCCTCAGCGTTAAAAACAATGGCAAACACAAGCCTCGTCATCCTCTGGGCTTGTATAAGTGTGTCCCAGCTGGGAAAGGGACTGGTGAATTGGGCTCCTGGTCTTTTCCAACAGGGCCCTGCACCAAAACTTTTCAGGAGGAGCTAATTCTGGGTGCGAGGGGCCAGGCTACAAGGGACGAGTAGGGAAACCAGTGAGAGGTATGGAAAAACAAGCGCTGCCTGGGGAGAGGCTGGGGCTATCCGGTCCTCCAGCTGAGAGCCCTTTCTGTGGGCAATGGCCACAGCTGAGGCAGGAGGCAATGTGCTGCTGTTTACCATGTGCTGCCCCCGGGACCATCGTTCGCTTCGGTCCCTGCCACCAATTCGCAATGTAGGTGTGGGTTGGGCATGGCTCTCCCTGCCCTGGGTGCATGGAGGGATGTAGGAACTGTGCCAGGTCTGCGCACCCTTAGGAAACTTGCAAAGAAGCTAAACCCGATCCTGCCCTGTGCCCAGAGGGCGTAAAAACTGGGGGTCCCTCAAGCAAGCTCTGGGGACAAGCCCTTGGGTATTGATTCCCCAAAAGCTCCTTCTGGCGGCCCTATTTCTCTGTCTGCCCTGCAACAGGCACTCCCATGGAGACGGTGTTCAGCCCCAGGACTTGCTGTCTGTCAGGATACTCCTCTCCAAGTGCTGTGCTTGTACAAGCCATGCTCTCTGCTTGCTCCAGCCTCGATGCCGTGAGGTTGGGCAGTTCAGGCACGGGTCACATCCACAAGGAGCCTTGGTCAAAGAAAATACATGATAAATTGATTTTTTACAACTTGCTCTGGTCTTTGGAGAGGAAGCAGAAACAGCTGTATCACATTTGGATAGGAAATCCGCACCCGAGCCAGGCGCTCCCCTCCGATGCGCAGTGAGGTTCGGCAGCGGCCGGCGTGTCGGGGAGGTGGGCTGTCAGCAGGAGCAATATTTTCTTCATCGAACAGTAAATCTCCGTGGCCTGGAGCAGAAGCTGCACAGACAGACAGCAGCACAGCTTTCAGAGCAGCTCATCTGCGATGCTCTCGGCTTCGAGCCCCGGTGGGAGCTGGGAACAAGCAGGGATGGTCCCTCCACTCCCAGTGCGGCGATGCCCTGGCTGTGATGCTCCTGCAACAGGGAAGCTGGTCAGAGCAGGATGCTTAGGGCAATCCCAGCTTTTTTGGGGAGCCACTGAGGGATGCTGGTTCGATGCGCCATACCAAGTGCTCCCACCACTCTTGAGGCAGAGAGGAGGCCCTCAGGAGGTGGCTGGCAGTCCCCACGTCCCTCCTTCTCACCAGCCAGCAGCCATGGGGATATCGCTGCCATTGCAGGTGGGGTGAGGGCACTGCCCCAGCCCCGAGGTGCCCATCTGGGCAAAGGGTGTTGTGTGATCTCCAGCATGGTGATGCCCAGCATGAAGGTCCCCTGCTTCAGCAACCTGAAACACCAGTGTTGCTGACCCTGGAGGAAGGGGCTGTGCTTCCTCTGCCATTATTTCGGAAGCTTGGGTTGAGATCTGTGAAGTTTGCGGATTGCCAAGCGATAGTTGCTATAAACACTTCATCACTGTGACAAAAAAAACACAAACAACATCACTCGTTCCTCCAGCAGCTGGGTGCAGGCGAGCCCCGACACCCTGGGTAGGGAAGCAGAAGAGGTTTTTGGCAAAGGACAGGAAACAGAATGGGTTCAGAAACTAAACTGCTGCTGTTCCCCGCCCTGGCTCTGTGGCTTTCTGTACAGAAGAACAAAGGAGAGAGGGGGCAGAAAGGGGATTAAGGGGTCCTTCAGCTGACCTATAAGGGGTGTGAATGTTGCTCCAGCCCCCAGCGAAGGCAGAGCGCAGGCAGGAGGGGTGGGTGTGGGTCGCCTGGCCATCTTCCTCCCAGTGCAGACGGGACAGAGCTTAATCCGAAGCAGGGGACAGATGTGTCTCTGAGCCAGCAGCTGGCAAGGGGACGGCTCACTGGAAGACTTACAGCAGGGTGCTGCGCTCAGCATAGCTCCCCTAAGGCTGTCCTTAGCAAAAGCAGCAGCCGCAGCCCAGGGACAGGGCTGTGCCCTGCCAGCGTGGCTGCGGGAGCCAGCTGCAGCTCACATCTGGGCTAACACGTGCTGGGGAACCGCGGGGTGTGTGTGTCTGGTTCAGTGCTGCCTCACTGGGATGTTGGTGGGGCCACTGACCCTCCCCTGACAGCACTGATAGGGACAGTGAGGTGACACCTCTGGCACTTCCCTCGAGGTGATTTTGTGCAGGCTCCGGCGCCTTGGGGCCACAATAGCCCTTGTGGCACGGGTGGGACCAGTCACCTGCCATGGGGTGGCGAGCGGTTTGTTTCCCTGCCGGCGTGTTTCTGCAAATAAAGCTGTGTCCCCTTCAGGGACAGGCAGGGCGCGGGCAAAGCTCGGGGAGCGTGGCATGGGGGATGCGGCTGCAGAGGGTTCCTACTCTTTGCTGCGCGGGGCTCATGGGGACGAAGCCGGTCTGTAACTGAGTGGTACCCAGCTCACCACTGCTTTGGGTATATTTAAGGCTGGTTTGTGTTAAACCCAAAGAGCTCTGCTATCTTTTAGCTTGAGAAAGCATCTGCCTGTCTCCTAACACCTCAGAAATCTGCCTTCCTATCCAGGCAACGGTAAGAGGGACCGTGCAGCTGATGTCGGGCAGCAGGAGCTCTGCACGCTCGCACGGCGAGCCGGGACTTCCCAGCCCAGCTCTGCAAAGCAGCAGGTTGGGGAAGCCCCGTCCCACTAGCGGAAACAGCTTTGCAGAGGTGGCAAAGAGGGGGTCAAACCTCATTCCTGATGGGGAACAACATCCTCAAGCAAATACCGAAGCAGCTGAAGATACTGAAGGCAAGAGGGGCTCCGGGTAAGAGAGGTGGCCAGGGGCACAACGAGAAGCAGATGAGGCCATGAATCATGGTACTGGAGACTGAGGTTTAATCAGGGAACAAGGGAGGAGGGGATGGGCTGTTCCACCATCACCCCATCCCCAGTGCTGATGATCCAGTGTCGGAGAGGAACTGGGTGCAAAGAGCCTTGGGGACATTTGCCAGGTCCTGGGTGGCTTTCTCCAGCAAGGAGCCTGAGAAGAAAAGTCGGCATCCTGTGCTAGAGCTGCATTTTACTTTTACTCCTCGTGTTATTTTCAAGGAAACAGGGAGAGTTTCCAAGGAGGAAGGCATAAGATCTTCCCACTGAAGCCTGTCTTTCTTCAGTGAGTCTTGGGTTAAAGGACCAGGGAGGAAGAGGGCAGGTGGAGTTTCCTCCAGTGCAGAGGAACATCTACTCGGCTATTTAAGTAAAAAGGAAAGGGTGAAACTCCTGAGAACAGAGAATTGCAGGACCTCAGATCTTTTTTCTAATCCTTCCCAATTCACTTATCATACTGAAAGTGCAGATGCTGCATCAGAGGACCTGAAACGCCAACGCCTCTCTTAAGCATCCAACTGCTGGTACCTGATGTTGAATTTTGGCGCTACAGCCCACACACAGGCCTATTGCAGACTAATTCACTGTGTCCAGGAAAACCTGCACTACATTGCTGCTTGTAGCCATGGGCAATGGATTTTATGTCAGACAAGGTTTAGATTGGATATTAGGAAAATTTTTTTCACTGAAAGGGTTATTAAACATTGGAATAGGCTGCCCTGGAGGTCTTTAAAAAAAGGATAGATGTGGTACATGGTTTAGAAGTGGTTTTGTCAGGTTAGGTTAATGGTTGGACTTGATGATCTTAAAGGTCCCTTCCAACCTCAGCAATTCTATGGTTCTATGATTCTACACTATTTGTGTACCCATTATGGTCCGTCTCAGGGAACCAGTGATCTGTGTGATGCGACCCAGTGTGCTAAAGGTGTGCTGGCCACCCCAGCAACATCAGCACCCCTTGCACCCACCAGCGAGGATGGTGCCAGAAGGCAAATGGTTGCTCTCCAGTAAGAAGATGCCTATTTGTGACCTGCCATGGCTGCTCTGAGTGTGCTGGACTCCGGCAGAGATCCCAGCGTGGCTGGTCTGGAAGGCACCATCCTCTCCCCAGCCAGGGAGGGCTGCTCGGCTGGTGGAGACACGAGCCCACAACTGGTCATCACCAGCAGATGCTGGGGCTGCTCCGTGCCCCGTGGGAGCTGTGATCCCAGACCCTTCCCCAGGCAGTGTGGGGCCGAGCATTGCTGCAACCTGCCAGAGGGGAGAGGAGGGAAGGAGAGAGGGAGAGGGAGAGGGAGAGGGAGAGGGGAGGAGAGGAG